TGAATGACTTGTCTAGACGGAGTTCTTCAGGTACTCATTTTAAATATCCACAACATCTGGTCACACACTTATGCCAAGCTAACATTGGCGTTTGAAATCTTGAAGATTTGTTGAAATCTTCCTATATTGAGCAATTTAATACAATATGGAAAGATTCAACAATATGTAAGTTAGCCATGTTTTATTCAAAACAAAAAAAATATAGCAATCCTATTAATATGCCCCACAAAAATATCAGTCTTGTGATAGGTATGTTGACGGGGCACAACCGTTAATGAAACACCTCAGAATATGGTTTCCTACCTTTTTTCGACCAAGAACCACTATGATACATTTGTTTTTAGTAGGGACCACAAAGTTAAACAATAATAAACATAATAGAATATTTTAATATACTTTATGCATCACTGGTATAATGCATAAAAAATTGTATAAGTGCATAGGTACATTATATAGGCTATAATATAGGTATATAATTATTTGTTAATTTTTTGTGCTTATGATCTAACAAATAAGATTTTAGTGGATAAACTGAATGCTATGTATCCATACCTGTTAAATTTCCTCCGCGGACCACAGGTAGAGCATGCACAACTTTACTATTTAAAGAATCTTAGCCAGCTAGCAGATTATAATTTCAAACATTTGGATTTAACAGTAGCATAATCGGGCATTGGTTCTGTAGTCTTAGGATCGCCAGTGTAACAACCCAACCATGTACCATGTACGATAACAATATTCTGCAAAAATAATATTAAAAGTCGAACAAAAACAATTATAATATTTAATTACATATATATATAGCTGTAGTTTATGTGTTAATTATTTAATTATTATTACCATATAACGCATTGTAAGACCATCGATTGTTCTTGTTATGGTTTGGAACATCTTAATGAAGAATTTACAAAAAATGAATACGAAAGTAATGGTCAACTGTAGTAATTATTAACCAACTTTACATGAAGGTTCCATTGTTTCAACTTTAGAACCCAATTCGCCTTAACCATATTAATTCCTTATATTGATTATAATAAAGTGAAGAAATGGAATAACAAAGCAATATAAAGAACTAATAATTATATGTTATGGAGTATGTGGACAATAAATCAAGCTAGTTGCAGTGCCGAACAGCCTTAGCCTAACCCATAAACCATTACATTAAATGTTTTGGAGTAGTTAGTCAATTTTTTTCATTTGTTATAATTGATAAAAAGGCTGAAGTGAAAAAAAATAAAGGCTTATGAATTATATTAGCAAATTTATTAATGTCTTGCAGGGTTGAAAATACTTTACTTCAATTAATTCATTCTTATATAGTTTAACCCACACTCATATATAGAAGCATATATTTTACAAAATAAAATGTATTTACCCCTCAGTTTTGTATTTAAAAAATATTACGTTAATTTCTCACCAAAAATTCCACCTTCCCTTCAAACAATGTCATTAAATAACGCCTGTCTAGGGAAAAAAAATTTATTTTTTACCATAGCAACTTGTTAATTTTTAAAATAAATTTCCTCGTTTCCATGTCAATAATTTTAGTTTTAAATTAAATATTAAACTCAAGTTTTTAGTTCAATAAAAATAACCAGCGAGTCAACAACAAAAATTTCAAATTAATATTGGATACTTAATTTTTGATTTATTGTCTGCAAATAAATTTCAAAGATGCCTTGCTACACCAGCACTAAAGTGCGCTTTGATAACCCGCGTAGCGATACCGATATTGGTAAGAATCGCCTTAGTACAGCAGGAAAAACCGAGACAACACCATGTATCAATGTACGCCTAACGCCAAGTCAGGAGGCACTACCAAGACAAAGCGAAAAAATAACGCGGGCAAGGACTTGTTATCTGTACAATCAAAGAGGAAAGAAGTTGAAATATCCCATTGATCCGACCAAAGAAGCTACATTACGCAAAGAAGACATTGAACGTATCAAAGCCAATGCAAAGATAATAACTATGGAAGAAAGAGCTGCTATTGTAGAGCTGCAAGAAAAAGAAGCACAACGTCTGAATGATATGGCAGATGAGTTAAGGCTTCGCTACAAAAGAATTGATGATGAGCGTAGAAATATGAGAGATGCTCTCGACGGTCGAGATAAATTCAGTGATACTGCACAAAAGCTTAATGTATTGGAGCGCAGCTTTGTAGAAAAACATGAACAGGAAGAAGAGGTTCAACTTGCAAATCGTGTCATCATAAACTTAAAGTGTCAGGCGGTACGTGATGAACAGATTTTGGAAAAAAAAGAAATTGAACGTCTTGCAAAGCAAGCAGACGCACATATGGTTCAAATTCAAATGAATATTGCAGCGAAATCGCTAGCTGAAGAGGACAAAAAAGAGGAAGAGAAACGGCTTAATAGAATTTTGTATGCCGCAGACATACGACAGCAATTAAATGAGCGTGAACGTATACGTTTACTTGAAGGACAACGTATAGAGAAAGAAGCACTCAAAATGCGTGAAGCTATGGAAGAACTAAAAAGGGACGAGGAGCTTCAAGCAAAATTAATATTAGAACGTAAACTTCAATTTCGTCGTGAACTAGATAAAGTAGCTGAAATGTCTATGGTTTTTAAAAAGATGTTGTGTGAACAAGACCTTGATGCTGATATGCGAGTGTTGGCTTTTAAACGTGAGCAGGAAATTCGACAACGTAAATTTGACGAAGAGAAGAGAATTGCTAAAAAAGAATTCGATCGTAAGCAAGATAAATTATTTGTGTTGGGTCAGAAGGCTTTGGAGTCCAGATCTCGTCGTGATGAAATGAGTTACATGCGAGAACAAGAAAGACTTGAAAGTGAATATAGGCGCAAGGAAATGGAGGCGGCATTGCGCAAGAAGAGGGTCGAAAAAGAATTATGTGATGCACGCAAACAACAATTATTGGATTCCAAGAATCGTCATGCTTTGTATATCGCACATGCTGAACAAGAATTTAATGATCTTATTGTAAGCATAAAATCTGAAGAGGAGGAACAGAAGAAAATGGATGCACTGCACAAGAAACTGCGCGAGAACTATCGCAACGATATAATACGCCAAATCAATGACAAAGAAGCGGAACGTCGTCGCTTATTAGATCTCGAGAAGAATCAAGTCTCTACTTGGCGTAAGGATGAACGCAAACGTGAACAAAATATACGCACTATTATTAATGCTAAGTTAGCTGCTATGAAAGATGCCAAATTACCGGAGAAATATATTACCGAAGTTCAACAGCGTATAACGAAAATTTTTGCAAAATACAATAATTAAATTAATTTTTTAATCATTTCAAATTTTAATTTTATTTTTGAATAATTTAACAAAAATGTATGCACAATGCATGTATCGAATTTCTTAAAATAACAATATGAAATACTTTTTTATTGAATTATTATAAAAATAAAATATTTTATAATAGTGCAATAATAAAGTATCTCAAATTGGAATTGCTAAAAATTATGAGAAATTTATATTTTGCTATTAAATGATTTAACTTTTCAGAATAAATCTGTTGTGCACCAAAAAGACTTGTTTTAATAATGAAAATATTGAAAATAAATAGTAGTATTTGAAATATGTATTTTTTAAACATTACAGTCAAGTCATCAATAAATGGATAATACTTAAAATATAAATACTTTAAGCAATAAAAAATTGATTTAAAGCAACACCTAAAATCTTTTATAAAAGAAACTCATTCTATTTTGTAAGAAATATTTTTTTGATCATTATATCTTTCTAGAGGCCACTATTTTTTTCATTAAAAACTATCTGATGCTATGGTTATTAAGTGGTGGATCACAGAGCTTCAAAGCAGTTTATAGTTCTTTTATGGTCAATTTAGTAGAGACGTATGTGAAGCATTTCAACTATATTAAAATAATCGTGTAATTAAAGCAATAAACTAGAAGCATTTTCATTAAGATACTGTATATATTATATTTAGACTTTAAACGACTGCTATATGCGTATGCTTACCTATTACCACTGTTTTCTAAAGTGTCTCACATTGAAGCTAGTAAAAACTGTTCAATTACTTAAACGTTAAAATCAGACCTTGCTTAGTAGTTTGGACTTAACTGCGAAAACTTCCACTGTTTTGTAAATATGAAATTTAATTTAAAAAAAATTAATTAGTTGAATGAAGTTTCCTAAAGCTAACATTAACCTAATTTTATACATATACAAATATTTAAGAAATTGCTTACATTTAGTTAGATATTACCTGGAAAAATTACTATAATTCTAGTTCACCTTACACTAAATAAAATTAGTAAAATTTTATCTATCATCTGCCTTTCTTAGATAGAATACTATATTACAGTTAAAAATCATTATCATCACATATTATTGATGCTCGAGATGCTATTGAGAGGTTAATAAAATATTTTATGAAACTTACAATACGTCATGTCCTTTATTTGTTACTATTGTCAAGTGTTTTATTTGTTTGGGCCATTCGTTTTTCCTGAAGTATTAATTTCAAATTATTAATATTATTATTAATCTTACCACGCTGTAAATTCCAAGAGAATAATATCAATTTAAACAAAAGTCCGACTTAAAGACTCTGAACTATTGCTTTAAGTTCATTCTTCTTCAAGTGTCACTTCTGGGTCGTACGACATACGAAAGAAAATATTGCTTGAAGATCATCCTACTTCCAGTGTCTGTCCGAGTTAACACATAAAACACATTTACCTATTAAGTGAATCGCTCTTTAGATTAAAGAATTGTGTTTTCCCGTTCCAAAATGGAAGCATATATAGATACTCCATATATAGATCACAACATACCTACACCTAACACGTAAGGAACAGATTTTGTTGCGAGACACTCTGCTACCAGTATTATGTGAAGTTAAAAACTATGAACGATATATCGTTACTAAAAATAAATATAAAATTAAGACTATTAATATAAAATTAAAGCTATTAATAAATTAAATTAATATTTTTAATTTTTTTGTTAAGAAACTAAACGATAAACTATATTAAGAATCAAAAATCTCCATTTTTTAATCGAACTTAGTATATTCATAATAAAATCTAATATAATTATTAGCTTGTTTTCAATATATATATTTGTCATTAATCAGCATTTGGTACTAAAATTTTTCTTTATAGTTTTTACCTTACTAAAATTTCATTAAAATTATTTATTAATAATGACGTCATATGTCTACCCATCAAACTTCTGGATATGAACCTGATTAATATACACAAGGGGAAGAATAAAATAACAAGGATGATACAAAGTTTAGCAAACATAACTAAAAAAGTGCTGAATTTTCTGTGCCAGAGGAAAGAGAGAAAAATATATTAACACAATAAATATATATCACTACCCTTTCCCTTTTTTTATAAACTTCAATGGCGTTCAATATTAAAGTTAACCGAGCCACTATCTGAAGTAATATACACACAAGGGCACAAGTCCATTTTGGTATGCTTACATGCATGTTTGAAATAACAACTTCTAACCGGTCGGTCATATATTCGACTAATTTTTCACAATGACGTCATTGCTGTTTAGTGTTGCTCTTGCTATTGTTGTTGGTGTTGTGTTGGTGTTAGTGTTGTTGGGTTTTTCACTTGGTATTTAGGTCATGGCTTGAAATTGTTGACCTTAAATTACTTACGCCATTTTACAAAGCATTGTTGCCAATATAACAAATACCGTAAATGCAGCATTTAAATGTGTTTCCACATAAAACAAGGTACGCTATTTTAAGCTGTTTAACATCAGAAGTGCTTACAATCGACCGTGTCCCTATATAACCGTAAACAGCGTATTTTTGTATCTGAAGAAAGCTTACCCGTGCGGCTTTACTGCCGGTTATCGCCTTATAAAGCTAATTTTGGCTTATTCTACACCAAGCAAAGCCCTTGAGCCTTAGCTCCACCCTAAAAGTGCTGCGTGTGATTTTTCCATTTTCTCGGCGTGAATGTACATTGCCGTTGCTGTTGCCGTTGCTGTTATTGTTGTTGTTATTTACATACTTCAGCTGCAGTAGATTTTCATTCAGTTTCATATCAATAATAAAATACTAACGTCATAAAATCGGTTTGTTTGCAGATATTCGGATTTCTTTATGGCTTTATCAGAGCATATGTATCTTTTTAGAATTGAAAGATAAATTGTGCATTTGTTGCTTGCTAATACTGCATACTGCAATAAATGGCAAAAATACTGCAATAGCATTTTGTAGAGCCATTGAAAGTTTAATTGTTAATAAAGCAGCAATTCTGTCACAATTTTATTGCATCACAGTTTGCTGCAATGAACCTTCAACTCGAGGTAAACTATGGCATATCTGAGCTATGACGCTGATTTGGCTGAGGACAAAATATAAATTTTTTTTACTTTATTTTTTAATAAGAATTATTTTTACTGGTTTTACATGAAGGATTGTTAATACATAAAGCTTTCTTGAAATATTTTAAGCTATTTTATTCATACTTTAATCTTGTCAAATGGTATATGGTAATGTAAACATCTCTAAAATTATGAAATTGTAAACGATATGAAAAATAATTATATGATACAGCAATAACAATAAAACTCTTAAATATTTGAGATAACACCAATGCAGAGAAATTTTATTTTAGGATATATTTTAGAAAAATCAAATGTTCTTTTACAAAAATCATAGTATTCTAGATAAGATTCGGCTTTATTTTCAATATAAACTACTTCAACTTTCCTACTACTTTATATACAATCACTTTAACGCTTCTTAAAGGTTCTTACATATTTTTTATTGAACGATTTATTGAAACCTTCAAACTATATGTTTGTTTCGGCATTTGCTTCTTTATTCCATTTTTTCTAACAACAAATTCCAAAATGACCTATTGGAGAAGGAATACTAAGCTAACCTGAACAATTTAAGGCAGTTAATAAACCCATGCTGAGTGTCCCAGCAAAAATTCGAACATATAATTTTTGTGTGTATATATTTCCTAAAATGAATTAATAATTTTTTTAAATAAAAACCTATGTCATATTTTGTTACCCATTATTTTTTGCATTCAAGTTTGATCTATCGGTGAACCAAAACGCATGCATAAGAAATTATATATAATTTCATACTTTCGTTCGTTTTTTACCTTTATGTAGAATATCTGGGAAGTATAAAACTTTCCAAAAAATGAGCTGTAAGTTCTACATATATATTAGAATATCAGTCGGAAAACGCTTTTGATTCCTCAACACTCTATGGGGATGTGTAGAGGAGGTAATTACAGTACCAACTTTATAACAATTGAATTACATACACAATGCTTTAACATGTTAGTTTCTGCACTTTAATCAACATTTTTTAGACTTTTATTTGATTGATTTTTCTTCAACAGGAGTTTACTCCATAAGAGACAATAGGCTCCGAACTTAAGTGATTGATTTTTAAGCACTTACTGCATGATTGTTTGTCCCCTTCTGTTAATTCTACAATTAAAAAAAAGCTTTGAAGACCTATATGACACGATTTTGGATTTGAAAAGCTCTATGTGTTTGAAAGTTTCTTTCGCATGTTGTACTCTAATATATATTACTGAAGATATATCATCTTTTGAATAACATTCCCAGTTTTATACTTTTTAAAATACCTTAAATTTATCATCTACAATTTGGGTCTCTAATTTGTGATCGATTCATTAATCAAGTCAAATTTTTTTCATCCTATCAAATTTCACTATATTACAGTTTGACCTGAATAATATCTTGTCCAGTTGAATAATCCGAAAAATTATTTTTTAATTTTATCATCATAAACATTAAGTTTTGACACTGCGTATAATCGTGATTGAAGGTAATACATCTGTTATTCTTTTTATTTCGAAGTATATTGATAATCCTATATTTTCCATAGTACGACGTAATATTCCCCAAATGCGTTCAAATTCCAATAAATTACTTGCTTTACTGAGATATATCCATAATAATGTCAAGCACACAAATATTTCATTTTGGTCATAAAGTCTTAAAAACTTCTCCTTGATGCACTTATTTTAAACCTTTATACATTTTGACTGAGATAATGAAATATTACGACCTTTAAGGGCTTGTTTTTGTCTGTAATTATTAAATTAAAGGAGTATCCATTTCATGGTACCGATTTAACTGCACTTGTACTCAGAAAAATATGCTCTTCCCACATACTAGTTAAATCGAACTGATTAATTTTTTAGAGAAATTTGAGCTCATGAGAACCAACATGTGATGTGGTAAAACCAACATGATGTATAGAGTAAGAATTGTTTGACCTAAGATTTAGTTAAAATCTG